GGTTACCGAATTTTGGCTTTGTCTCTTGTTTATTCTGTCTTCTCTGATCCTTGACCTTGGCTTGTCCTATTGTTGTTCATAAAAATGACCCTAAGGAGGAAATGTGGGGCAGAGCCAAGCAAAATCGGAGGCAGAGCCAAACTGGTGCTGGGGCGGGGCTTTTGGGGGGGGGGGCAAGGGGGTGCCAAGCACAGGATCCGCCCCAGGTGCCAAATGCTCTAGGTACGCCCCTGCTGCTCCCTCAAGTTTTCTTAAAAAACGGTACATATATTACTAATTCCCCAAGGGTATTCACACTTTTGAGCACAACTGTATGTGAGAAAGGCTGCATTTGATGGACTTACTTAATGTATGTGGAAACTGAAAAAAATTTATTCAAAGTGTAAAAATAATAATTAACACAGAGCCAAACAGTCCAATAGAGCTTAAAAACTATATATTTTTCTCTGCACTTGCAGCTATACAAAAAGATGCACACCTTCGTACTTATACACAAAATGCTAACTTGAACTTAGTTCAATAAGTGTATTACTCTATGAGTGAGTTCCAGGTATGACTGCATTCATTTTGTTTCTGCCCGACTGTATAACTGTGAGCAATGCTATCATACGTAAGAATGGATTTTGTTTATAAGTTTGTGTATATATATATATATATATATATATATATATATCTATTATATGGGCATAGTTTTGTTTTCCTGGCACTATAGTGCTCCTTTAAGACATGTTCTCTGAGTTCCATAGCTGTTAATAAAAACATTCAATTTTCATTCCTCCCTCACCTAACAGATAGAGAAGTTCTTCCTCTGTTGGATTTTATGTATTTGTGTTTCTATAGTATGTATTTTATGACACACATCTATACAGCTTTTTAAAGGGAACAAACCTTCAGCTTGTCCTGGTCTGTTAGAAAGCTGATCTATGTACGCCATTTGTTGTTTATGTAAACTAAGCAATGTCTTTTACTGCAAATACAGCCACAGAATCACAGAAATATCTTTGTTATGCTAGCTCAATATTATTCAATATTTAAAGCAGGTTTGTGTTTTATAGAACCAGATTTGCATATCTGACACTTTTTATAGTTGATTAGTGCACCGATAATCAGCTTTTTCTATACTACGTACATCCTCATTGATTTCTTTTTCTCCCAAGGGAAGATGGTATTTAGCGGGTTCCTAGAAATTAGCCCTTCCATCGAAAGTATATTTCAGTGAAAGTAGAAAGAACATTGCTTGGCTTCAAAAGAAAATAAGAAAATACAAATAGGATTAAAAGTAACTGCAATATTTTTTCATGTTCGAGTGCAAATGTTGCATGTCTGGGGAGTTGTGTAGGATTTATTTGCTCTTTCAAATTGTATGTGCTGATGATGCTCATTAAAATAAAATAAGTTTAGCATCTAAATGATAACATTCTTTTTCAGATGACTATTTCCAGCAATTACATTTTTGAACATGTAACACAAAGAAATACAGGAAAAGGGCTGCGCCAATTGTTAAAAGGTTCAATCATTTGTCTGAATAGGTATGGCAATATACCGTAGTTGGTCTCATTGATACGGTGGGACTAAAGTTCTGATGGAGTAACTGAAGGTAAAGTCCAATAATATTGAGGTCTCACTCAAAAGTAAGTATCTTTATAAGATGCCTGTTTTTGGTTGTAGAGTCCTCAATGTCCCTAGTGGTCCAACCGTCCCGCTTATATGCAAGACAAAAACGAGGAGACCCAATGGTACAGTATATAAAAGCCAACATGGGTAAAATAAACAAATATGTGCAATAAACTCACATTTAAAAGAGCTTTAGCCAGCTCTGGTGTGAAGGGCGTACAGCGGTAAAATCCCTGCTTTAAATGATATGTAATAGGAGTCCTCCAGAGAGACGGTATCCAACAATCAGGAGAGGGATATATAAAAGACAACTAATAGTGCTCTCAGTAGAATACAATATGCAGTAAACATAAATAAAAAATGTACTCACAAGTGAAGTGCAGGCAAACTGCACTGTGATGTCAGCGTTGGTGGTATCCCCACCTCGGATATACGTGGAGTCACACGTGGAGTCACACGAAGGTAAAAGGAAGCCAGGTAAAAATGTCCAAATAAAAAAGTGTATTAAAAAGATGATTGGCACAAAATTGTAACCAAAAATCCTTTTATCAATCAAAATAACCATAACGTGTTTTACCACTAGGGTAAATGGGTAAGTAGTACTTTTTCCTGTATTTCTTTGTGTTAAATGTTCTCTCCTCAGAGGATTTGAGGGTTATCTTCTGTTGGGCCGCTACCTACCTTACTTCAGTTTTATTAACGCTGACCTTTTCCTTATTTTTCAATTACATTTTTGAGCCTATAATTTTTCTGGTGAAATATATATATATATATATATATATATGGAAGACACTCCTAGAATTATAACCACCACAGCATATCATTTTTCTGATGCTATGAAATGCATGCAATATTACCGTTCAAGTACTTGCCATTTTTATGAAATAATTTGGAAATGCATTGCTTTTTCATTGAGTTGTCCAAATACTTGCCTGCTAACATTATGCAAGTCAGCCTTCTGAACCTTATGGAGCTATGCTGTGAACGTGTATACTCACAGCATTGTTCTTTGCTGGTGTAGAGTCAGGTCAATGAACAGTGCTGTCTAGATGTATAAATGCTCTCCTCAGCTGTTCCCACCTCCTATAACCTCCGATCCAGTATCAACACTTTATTTAGTCTACCTCAATACAAAAAGAAAGCAGCCCGATCCTCCTTCTCCTACAGAGCACCGCAATTATGGAACAACCTCCCGCACAATTTAAAATCTTCCCCAAGCCTAAAGTCCTTTAAGAGATCCCTCTCTACATACCTCAAAACATAATGCATCTGTCATGGTTGATTGTATATTTCCTATGTGTTCTATGTTAAATTTTGTATATATTGTGTATTAACATTGTTTTTGTATTTTATTGTACCCTAATTGTAACAATGCAATGATTTGTGGACCTAGGACATACTTGAAAACGAGAGAAATCTCAATGTATCTTTCCTGGTCAAATATTTTATAAATAATAATTTATAAATAAATGCTCAAAGAACATCCCATTTAAAATGTGCAGTATATGAAGGGAAGGTTTGCAGGAATGCTTTGAAGCATCATTACCTTTGAATAAATGGTAGTGGTTATGTTGCTTTGAGATACTTTTTAATCAAACCATCAGTTGGAGACATTATAATAAAGTGATTCTTGGTTGCATGAGATAAGAATCTAATTTTCAATTTGTGGCATAAAAAGAAAAACAAGTCCCACAACACATCTGGCCAGGGCCAGATTGGGGCAGAGCAACCCAATAAGATAGCGCACTTGTGTCATCATTGGCAGGCACTCACCCCAAAGTAGGAGTGACAAAAGGGAAGATCATCTTGTACCTTTCGGCTCATGTTTGGGGGAGTGGAGAACTACACTCTGGGGATTTCTATAATCACTATACTCCCCAGGGTATAATCACTAAGCTCTGCAAAGAGCTTGTTCCTGTTCCTGCTCTCTCGAATTCTGGGAGGTCAACCTACTGGAAGTTGGACCCTGGGCTTGGGTCCAGAGTGGGTGGAGACGGTGAGACCCCAACTAAGCTGCGGCGGTTCGTGGGAGTCTACTGTGGTTATGGTGTATGGCGGAGTGCTTGGATATCTCGGGAAGCACTATGAGCATCCATCAACGGAAGGTACCCAGTCGGGGTGCAAGCGGTTCCGTTATAGTAGGCATGTCAGTTTGATAACCGTCTACGACTATTGCTTGGTTTCAAAATAAAATAAGAAAATAGAAATAGGATTAAAAGTATGTACAATATTATTTTCATCTCAAAGTGCAAAAGTTGCATGTTTGGGTAGTGGTGAAGATCTTTCACATGGGGAAAAATGACCTATGTACAACACAGACCAAGATATTATAATGATACAGTTGTTTTATAATTGCTTTTGAGTTGATTCAAGTTTCCCCATAAGAGGGACAAAAGAGGGACATGGGCTATACTGTGGGGAACGGTGACCAAAGTTTCATACAGTGAGGGGGTAAGGGCTGAACTGAAGGGGATAGGGAAACATCTGGACTGCGTTGGGGAGAAAGGATCTGTAATAAGTGGCTGAAGGTATTAAAAAAGAATTGTATAGTTCAGTGTTTGCATGTAAGGGTCACTTGGACTCCCTGACACAAGGAATCCTATTAAATTTGACAATATTACAGGCACAATAAAAATAAGTTATGTTGCTTCATTTTTATCTTCAAGAAGTCCTTTATTATTTTCCCCAATCCACTGACAGGCATATTTATTGTCACATCAATCCTTAAAAACACTTGACCTGGAACTAAAGCCAATTGTACCTTACATTGATGAGTCAATACAACAACACAAAAATACATTTCCATGTAAAATCAATTACAAAACTTCTACTCAAAATGTCTAAATGCTTATATATATATATATATATCTTCCACTATTGAACTAGGTATCAAATTATTAGTGTTTTAAATGGTATAATAATACTTTAACTAACATGGACAGCAAAATAGAGAGGCTACATGAAAGTGAACTATGTATTATGGGAAACAAGACTAAAGGTCCAAAATACCTAATACCTGCTTTATTGTTGTCATGTATCTATTATGTACAAATATGTAATTCCTCGAGGGGCGGGGCCTGACCTGCAAACTAGACGGTCACATGGCAGAGGAGCTCCCAATGCCAAAGCGGTTTTTTGGGGATATACTCACTAATTTGATTACTAAAAATGCTGGGGGCACCCTGGCGAATCGCCTGATACTGAACTCAAGTATTTCCCACAAGCACAAGCCTGAAGGCGGCCCGCGGTGGATGGGGCTGGGGGGAGGCGGCCGCTCTCCTTGCCTCCGCACTGGGCACGCTGTGCCACTGATCACCCACTCCCCCCCCACAGGACCGGCGGGGGTTATCCCGGTCTAACCCCGCCAGACGGAAGGGCTACGGCAGATGCGGATGGCGGAGCCTAACAAGCAGTTCCCAGCCACACAGACCCACACAATGGCAAACTCCACGTGTGACTGCAATGGCGGCAGAGCGGAGACCGATGTCCTGAAAAAGCTAGATGCTATCTTCGCCTTTTGGGCACAACTAGCACTCAGAGAGCGACAGGTCAACATACAAGCGACCTTACCCAGAAACGGACCCGCAAGTGCTGGCCACAGCCACGCTGTTCCCCGCTCGGAGGCAACCACAAGATGGCGCGGAAGACGGAGACCTCACCCGCATACCCGCAAGCGATTGACCAAAACAGCGCTGATAACTCGCAGGGACAAGCAGGTCCCACCTCATCCTCACACGCACCGAATCCCGCCAGGCAATCTTCAAGAAGCAAACACCCACCAGGGCACCAGAACCTGTCAACATCAAGGGGAGTTCCAGAATCCAGGACTACCTACAATAAAACTACAGGTACCCACAGTGACAAGCGAACAGGCCCGTCATCGGACCTAGCGCAACTAGACTTTGCCTTATCCCAGCGGCCACCGAAACCAGCGACAAGATCCCTACCTATGCCCCAAAAGGACTGCCAAGTACCCCTATCATCATTCCCAATGCTGGGCATAGGTTGACAGCGAGCACTCAGGCTGGACTCTCAGAGGCACATACCCAAAACCTCTGCCACAACGGACGCTGTGTTTACCACTCTGCAGCCTCCTAAACAGAGACCCACCTAACCAGAGACCTCTACAAGATAAGCCTATAATGCCTATAAGCCAATAAGCAATATGCGTTTATATGTACCACATATGTTTGACAACGAGATATGCCATTTGGGACCATGGCAGAGTGGCCTGTCGCAATGGTGTTTCACTTTCTCTTCCTTGCCTGTGCCATGTGTTTATCCCTATGCTGTGCCTTGAAGCAGAAACTGCATTTGCATAAGTGACAGGGTAGTGAGGGTGTCTCTGCAATGTCCTAGTACAGCCTGGGGTGGTATACTAAGCAGTTGCCTAATACACCCAAGTCTTCACGGTATAATGGGAAATATTTAATCTAAATCACAGGCGTTACTCCATTACTGTTCCTATTGTATTTATGATTATTCTGCAGTTATATGCTTACTTACACTAATGTCCTTAACCTGTGTCTTACTTTCATGACACTCACTTAGTACATCTAGCATGCTACTCACCACGTCTAGCATGCTTAGATTTCTAATCAACTTTAAACTGCTGAAACTTACAAACAAACGTGTATGCATAGCTTGTTTATAATTTTATTATAAAAATGTGCCGATATTTACATGCCATAAATGTGAAAAACTGTGTTCTAATCGTTCTTTTGCATGCCGTTGTGGCATTGTTAAATGTTCTGTTAGCTCATGCACAATGAAAAATAAAGAATTTAAAAAAATAAATAAATAAATATGTAATTCCTCAAGGGATTCTAAAGACTGAAGGTCAAGTGGTTTATAAATGTCAAACATGCTCACAAATGCCCAAACACTTATTTACATATCAATCTCATCTACTCTAAAAATATATTTTGAAAGCGAAAATTAGGTACTTTTAAGTAGATCTAAAAAAATAAAAATTAAAACAAATAAATAAACTATGCAGCTTGCAAGTATTCAAACCCCTAATCACCTAATCAATGACATCCTGTTGATATCTTGTCTTTATATAGCTCGAGGTCCCCACTGTCTCTAGTCTGAATATTGTCATAATCGGGCGTTGGGGCGCAGAGCGACACCTCTTTAAAGATTTACAGGGTGAAACTGGAAAAGTACCCTTTGAGGAGTTCCAGGGGATTTGCTCCGAGCCAAAACAGGTAAAATTTCTGGGGTTCCGTGTGGAGCTCCTCAACACATAAGGTAACACTTGAAAGTTCTGGACTGCCTCTGTTAATTGTCCAAAATAACCAGGATCCCTCACACAGGTCCGAGCTACATCCGGTTAAAGTTCAAGCATGTTGTGCCAAAGTCACTATGCGCTCGGTAGTTCCACAGAGTTTCTAGTTTTGTCCTGGTTGGGCACACCGAGCCCTCATAACTGATTAGTTTGTGGAAGCATGGCTTGGGCAGGCCAAACTGGGTTTTCGGGTCACCCTGTGCCACCAATAAGCACAGGGTGACATAGACATAAGAGGGGACTGAGAAGCTGAGAAAGGGAGTTTCCCATGAATGTGCAAAGTCCCCCCTCCTAAACTCAAACCTACCCTCATATGTGACACTCCCATATTCAAACAGTAAATCCAAAACATTTTGTTTCTAATCAGGGTAGTTTCCATAACAACTTTGATATTGCTTTGTACCCTTTTCCTATCTGATCTACTTCGACTACGCTATCTATTAACACTGGAAACTGTTCTCACTTCTTCATTGTCACAGCTTTCCTTCAGATCTGCAGCCCCTTATCTTGAGTGGGGCTTTTATCCAGAGCAAAATAATCCTTGCTTTAATTCTCAAGTAGTGACAAATTCTTAGGTAATTATATTGCCATTAGGGCTATTTGTACTGCTGTGTAAACATGAAGCTCCCAACCCAATGGGTTGGATATTTTGATAACTGCATATTTTAGTTTATTTTATTTTTTTTAAATATCTTTCAACATAAAACCAGTGTCACTTTAAAATAATTAATTTTGAGTTTAAAATGCTTTCAGGTCTTACAGAAAATAGATCGCAAACATTATTGATCACTAGGGATGGTATAACTCCTCTCACTCCCAAAATCAAGAACATCTGAAAGGAGCTCCCTAAACCCCTAAAGCTCCCTATATTCGGAAAAAGAAAATAACTGTCAGGATGATATCATTTTCTATTTTCCATGTTATTCTCATTGGCAGAGCTTCAGATACCAATACCGAAGCTAACAGATTACTAGAATTACTACCAAATTACCATTAGTTGCATGTCAAAACCAACTTATTTTTAAAAAAACAACAACAATTAATAACCTGATATAGATATTAAATGATTCAGTGAAGTTGCTTGATCTGCTTTACCTCCTGGTGGAATAATGAACAATCAAGAAGCTCTGCACATGGGAGCAGTGCATCTCAAATAAATTTAAACATATTGAACCAGATCGAAGCAGTACCATCTGAATTCCTCTTCTGAACTAAGATTAGGAAACAAACACAATTTCCAGATTCATGAAATAATAATAATGATGAAATTCTCTGAGATGGAAGGGGCTTGAAGATCTGGTATTCTTTGTCCTGAAATTAGGTAAGCCCGTAAAATGGCATTAAAGGTAAAAGGCAATGTCCTCCAGAGGTTCAAAAGGACTGATCGTGAGGGCTTAAAGGACCAGAGGTAAGTCCCAGGGGGACTGCTTTGAAAAAGCATCTAATATCAGGATACAAGAGACTTTCTCTCTAGTGGGATGAAAAGAGCTAATACCTGAACTAGTAATGAACCTGAGACACTTATCGAATCCTTCTTTAAAAAAATCCAGGATGTCTTAGTTAATAGGGCTTGAACTGGAGCACCATAAAGGCAGGACCTGAAGCTAATGAGTGCATTATAGCCTTCAAAAGAATTTCAGCCACATGATCTGAACAATCACTGCCTTTGATTTTCCTTTCTTTCCTGTACTTGGTTGTTGAGGTAGGCAACCAGATTCAGGTCAGATTCAACTTTATTGTCACTGTACCATGTACATACGAGTGCAATGAATAACAGTTGCCCTCTGAACAGAAATGCAGCAGTAATTTGTAAACTACTATTTAAAAAATGTACTTCCAGTATCAGCTTTCTTGTTTATACTTGATACCACTATTCCCTAATGTTTAAGAATACAATCCTAATTCATTACTACCAATGTCCAGCCTAAAAATGCATCGACATACAGTAGTGCCATCACATAAAATTCAACACACAACCCATAACCCCAATCTAGGTAAAAATTAAGTGTGCCAACCATTCAGTCGAAATTTTAGTGCAGCATTTCCCAAAAGTGTGGGTCGCGACCCATTGGTGGGTTGCCAGCTGATTTTGAATGTGATGCGCTGACCTATTTATCCATGAACCCCTCTCACTGCATTTCCCGTTTGATATGGACCTAGCGGCAGACTAACACCAGTGCCCGCACGCTGTAGGGGCCCTATCGAGTGGCCCATGCATTTAGGAACTCGCAATGGTAATAATTACAAAAACAGACAGCATATCACTTCCTCCCAGCTGGCAGATACTGCAGAGGCCCGGTCAGCCTCTTAAAGAGCCGGGCACCCGACCAGGCACGTGTTCAGGATCAATACCCATAAGGTGTGTAATGAGTAAAGGTTATTTATAATGTGTAATATCCTGGAAATCAAACACACACAATCTGACACATATTGTATGTTAGATTGTGTGTGTAATTTCCAGGATATTACAAATAGTGTGCGGGTGTCAGGGAACCTCATTAGATATGCGTGAATCTCCCAGACGTACCGGGAAACATGGGATGTCTGGTTAATGTGTACATATGTATAAGTATCTATGTATAAGGCAGCAGAGGCGTAACTGAAACCACGGGGCCCGGGTGCAGAAATTGCCTTACGGCCCCACCCATGCATTTACCCCCCACCCCATACGTCCCTGTCTCCCATACATCTACCCCCCCACCCCATACATCCCCGGCTCCAGTGGCGTCACTAGGGGGGGGCCAGAGGGGGCCATGGCCCCCCCTAGATCAGGCTGTGCCCCCCCAACTGGAAATGAACTTACTGCTCGCTGGGCTCCCTCCAGCCCCTGAGCAGATGGATCCTGCAGGCAGGGGAATTCCTCAGCCTGTAAACATGGAGAGACACTGGAGGGAGGAGGGAAGCAGGCTGTGCTCACTGAAGGGGAGACTTCTAGTGCTGTGGAGGAGGAACCATTGTCCAGTCTGCAGGAAGTCTCCCCTTTGTTTCTGCTGGGGGAGCAGGAGAGCGGTGCACAGTGAGCACAGCCTGCTTCCTGCTTCCTCCTCCCGCCAGTGTCTGTGCGTGTTTACAGGCAGGGGGATCCATCTGCTCAGGGGCTGGGCTCTCAGTAACATGGAGGGAGCCCAGCCAGCAGTAAGTACTGAATTGATCCTCCTCCACAGCCCTAGCACAGGGATGGCCCACATGGAGCCCAAGGGGGCTGATCATATTGTGTATGTTTGTGTTATAAAGTGTGACTAAACTGGTGTGAGTGACATTGTGTGTGTATAGTTCAGTAAGAGTGTGTGTTAGTGAGAGTGTAAGATATTGTGTGTGTGTGTATACTGAATAGTGTGTGTTAGTGAGAGTGAGTATGTGTGTGTGTATACTGAATAGTGTGTGTTAGTGAGAGTGTGAGACATTGTGTGTGTGTATACTGATTAGTGTGTTAGTGAGAGTGTGAGACAGTGTGTGTGTGTGTATACTAAATAGTGTGTGTTAGTGAGAGTGTGAGACATTGTGTGTGTGTATACTGAATAGTGTGTGTTAGTGAGAGTGTGAGACATTGTGTGTGTGTATACTGAATAGTGTGTGTTAGTGAGAGTGTGAGACATTGTG